ACAGGGACTTTCAGGGCCAGGGGAGGACATGGCCGTGGCTCATGCCTATCCTGCCACAGGCTGCAGGAGCCACGGGAGCCCAAGGAGGAACAGGCCCAGGTGCTGCTCAAGACATGCGATGATAGTGACGCAGCACCAAGGTAGGTGATGGCACCCACAACTGCCAAATTCCCCCTATGCCCTTCCCCAGACACTGACCTTGCCGAGGTGCCTTCCCTTCCCCAGGAACGCCTCACCTGGTGGCAAGGAGGGGGCTCCAGCCAGCCCCGGGGAGGGCTGTGTGCCCAGCAGTACCTCCAGAGACTCCTCTCTGAAAAGCAAAGACTGCAGCAGGGGTCAGCAGCAAAGTGGGGCTGAGAGCACTGCCCAGAAAGAGTCGACGCCGTAGAGCCCAGCACAGAGCAGAGCCGTGCCCTGGTCCTTGACCAGCTCCTCTCGCCCTGTGCCGTGAGCCAGGGCAGGAAACGGCCTGGGCACCCATGTCTGCAGCACATCCAAAGCCACAGGGGCACTTGGTTCTGAAAGAGTAATTGTCTTTGTGCTTTCTCTTGTGTGTGTTAGAGCGAAATAAAAGGATTCAAGTGTCCGTGTGGTTCTGCAGTGCTGACAAAAGGGATCCAATGTCTCAGGGTGTCCAGCTGCTCATAAAGCACAATGCTTGCAAACTGGGGGGAGAAACACGAACTCCTGGTGCAGGGCAGAGCCCGGAGCGCGTGGCCGGGTGTCAGAGCAGTCCCTGCACAGCTGGAATTTGGCTCAGAGCTGGCACTGACACACTCCCAATACTAGGACCAAGGTGCATTTACTACAATGCACAATGTGGGTACGAAGCTTCGTTTCTGCTATCAGCTCACCAAACAAAGCGACTATCACCTTTCCAAGTTCCCCTGTGCAAGGGCACAACAGGAACGGGAACGCCTACAAAACCGTTAGTAACAAATTAACCTGCTCAAGGTTCCACTGGCTGCAGCAGCAGGTCCTGCTTCCACGAGGCACAGAGCAGCTGCACCGGAGCCTCCGAGTGCACAGCACAGATCAGTGCTCTCCAGGTGCTACATTCCCACCTCGGCTCTTTTCTCCCAAGCCAAAATGCCTCTCCTGGGACAAGTCACCAGTGAGGGCATCAGGCAGATGCTCTGAGACAGAGCAAACCCGGTGGAGAACAGGCTCTATCCATTCTGCGAGGAGAAATAGAGGGCTGGGGTTAGGTTTAGCCCCATCCGTGTGGCTGTACAGCCCCACGAGTTGCTGAGTCACAGTCACACTTCAACACAAAGCTGCAGCATTCTGAAAACCCTCCAGAATTACAAAGTAGAGACTGCAGTTCCCATGACGCTACCAGCACCTCCAGAGACCTTCAAATAACCATCAGACAGAAGCTGGCAGTATTTTCTCCTGTTTTTTTATCAAAAGAGAAAACCCAAACCCAAGCCATCCCCACCAGTTGCCCCTTCCTGAGCCATACCGCAGCGCCTTCCCCACGGAACACCGCAAGCCTCAGGTGTGAACTGACAAGCAACCCATTTCCATTCCAGCAAGGAAGAATATCGTAGAACTCAAGAAAATAGCGAACCTCTTTGGTATATAACGACAGAATAAGTTATACCACACAGCTCAGTGGGAACCATTTCCAAATGGCCATGTTTAAAAGAGCATTAGCTAGCCCAACTCTTCTCCTGGGTGGAGATTCCCCTAGAAGCAGCTCCTACTCACCCCCACACCCCAGTGTTTGCCCAGAACAGCAGGTAAGGACTGCAGGTGCTAAAGCCCTCAGCAAGCCCAGCAGCTGCGGTTCCTTCCCAACCCACAATCCTGGGATCGCTGCAGGACGGAGGTGGCCTCGCAGGACAGGAAGCAGCGTGATTTGGAAGCGGGAAGAGGGGACAGAGGTGGGGGCAGGAGGCAGCAGCGGGCGCGGTGACTCCGTGTGCACAGCAGCAGCCGCGGGAGGAGGAGCTCGGAGGCACTCTCGGTCCCGCAGCCTGAGGGCAGTGGCAGAACCTCCCTGTGAACGCTGAGGCCCGGAGAGAGCCGAGGGAGCCGGTGTGGTGAGGGCAGGCAGAGCCGGGGGCTGCTCCTGCGGCCGCCCCAGCACAGCCCGAGGAGTTGGGCCCCGGGAGATTAAAGCCTGTCTCGCCAGGTCAGAAAGCTCTGAAGTCGAATTACGCAAAAAATCTGCTGCCCAGTGCCTTCCCTGCCGGGAGCGCAGCACTGCTCTCCGTCGGGATCGGCCCAGAGGCGTTCCAGGACAGTTCAGCTGCTGCAGGCAGGAGGATTCGTTCTCTTTAGGGTCGCTACAGGCTAAGTTATCTGGAAGATCCCTGAATGTGCAACGAAGTACTGATCTCGAGGAGGAACTGAGTGACCCGCCAGGCTGCCCAGCACCGCAGCCCTCCGCCGGCTCCTCCTGGGCGGCTGGGAAACGCCAAAGGCAGTGCCCGGCGCCGGTGCCACGCAGGCGCAGTGAGAGCCAGGTGTGTGCTCAGCCAGTCTGGTATCCACCTGCGTTACAGTTCCAATTTGACTCCTTTAATAAAAGGGAGACCTGATGGCACCTTCCTTTTGTACTCCAGGTACTCTTCTCCAAAGAAGTGAATGAGTGTGATCTCCTCCTCCTCGATCCGCTCCCTGAAGAAGCGCCAGGACGCCAGTGTGTAGCCCACCACGCAGATGGGATTGCAGAGCAACACCTGGAACAAATGTGGCTGGTGAGTGTCCCCTGGAGAACCTGAGGCTGCTCATCTGCCCTCGGTAACACAGCCATGGGATCTGAGTGCTCTCCAAAGAAGAGATCCCAACACCCCTTGAGAAACTCTGTTCTGGGGGGATAGCGTGTATGAAAAGAGCAGCACGTGGTCAGCAGTGGCTCCTGCTGCCCTGGCTCCACATGCAATCCTCACAGTGTCTCTCCAGAGAAATACAACCCACTGCCAACCCCCAGCCAGCCATGAAAACACATGGCTACAGCCGTGCTCAGCTACTGGGGCACTCTCAGAAGGCGTTTCCTTGCCATCTGGCACAGGACTGGTGCTTGGCAGGAGCCAGACTGAGTCTGACCACTCATGGAAGGCACTTTGGCCATAGGGAGACAGGAAACTGGACACCACTTTCAAACCAGCAGCAGATCATATACAGCTCCAAGGGGCTAGGGCTCAAATCCAGCCTCAACAACCCTTGCTTAGCCACACAGACAATTAAGGCAAAGGGATCATCCCACAGATTGCTCGAGGCAGAGCACTCAGGGATTCCTAATCTCCTGCGTGTCAGTGAGAGGCATCAAAATCCGTGCCCAGGCCACCCACGCCACGTGGGCAGCAGTGAGAAGAGACCTGAGGTGCACTACCTGTGTCCCGATGCTCCAGTAAAACCAGCCCACGTAGGAGGGATGCCGGAACCAGCCGTACACCCCGCTCGTCACCAGGGTGTGCGTGTCGGACTTCTCGTTCTGCACGATGTGGTTGAAGTTGGAGCCAGCGGTGAGCATGGCTGCCTTGCGCAGGCAGTCCCCGAAGATCACCATCAGCAGCCCCACCGTGCTCAGCCACGTGATCTGCTTCAGCTCTGCGGGCGAACGGGACAGGCCCCAGGGGTTTGTGTAGGCCTCACGCGCCGGGTGGGCTTCGTCCCCACCCGCAGCACGAGGTGCAGCGCCCGACGGCCACAGCTGCTGTGCCACCCACAGACACTGCCAGAGCCCCTGCCACGTGCCACACGGTCACCCCGTGGGGCTGGGCTCAGACCACACCAGGCACAGCAAGGACATGCTCAGGCTGTTACGAAACAAGGGGACAACTCCCCTCTCCCAAAACCAAGCAGAGCAGCACAACCAGCTTGCCCCAGACTGGGCAAACAGCAGCAGTTGTTGCTGACTGGATTTTATTCCTAGTCAAAAGATGACATCAGGGTGTACCTGAGGTCGTTCCTGCACCACC